ATAGTTCTCTCTTTCCACTATTTGGGTTCCAGGGATCCAGCTCAAGACATCAGACGTAGTGGCAAACACCCTTACCAAATGAGCCATTTTAATGGCCCAAGTTGGGCTTTCAAACATTACTAAAAATTACCAACAATACTAAGAATTCAAATTTTCTAACTTGTTCTTATAAAGGCAAAAGACAAAAATACAAAAATGAGTTCATATTGGTTGAACTTTTATCTCATAGAACTAGAAACTAGGGGCTAGAGAGATGGCTCAGGGGTTAAGAGCACATATATTGCTCATGCAGATGACCTCAGTTCGTCCTCCAACACCCCAGGTAGACTGGCTCATGATTACCTGTTCCAGCTCCAAGACTGTGGTGATATATTGTTTATGATCTAATAAAGCTTGCCTAGAGATCAGAATGCAAAGCTAGCCATAGCCATAGAAGCTGGGCAATGGTGGCACACACCTTTAATCCCAGGACTCAGGAGACACTAGAGGCAGATGGAGCTCTAGAGTTCAAGGCAACCCAGGGCTACATGAGAGTAAATCAGTCCAAAACAGAAACAGAGCTCACACCTTTAATCCCTCGGATCCTGACAATTAGTCTCCAGCCACATTGAGGACAGGATCTCTCCCCCAAGCCTTAGTAAAGATAAGAGCTCTCTTGTGGCTTAGCTGCTTTGCTTTTCTGATCTTCAGCTTGAAACCCAGTATCTGTCTCTGGGTTTTTATGATTCATCCTACCCAAGAGATCCCACACCCTCTTTTGGCTTCTGTTGCACTGTACTCACAAATCCACACATAACACTCAGCTATACATACATGTGTTTTTTGTTTTTTATATTTTAACGTATCAAAAAATTAACGAAGAAAGCCATAAATACAAAATATAACATGTCTCCATATTCCTTTTTTGTTAATGGTTTTTTTCAAGACAGGTTTTCTCTGTGTAGCTTCGTAGACCAGCTGGCCTCAAACTCACAGAGGTCCACCTGCCTCTGCCTCATGATTAAAGGCATGTGCCACCAACTCCCAGCCTCCTTATTTCTTTATACATTCTTTCAGGGGAATTCTCAGTTTGCTACAGAAAACTCTGCCATAAGTGGCTTAAGTTGAATAAAATTAGCTCAGCACTTTGTAGTCTATGATGTTTATAAGCAAGAGCTTCTTCCACTTTGAAAACTATGCCTAAAAAGGAATTCTCATTAAAGACTGAAGAGTTTAATTAAAGATAAAGCCACTTGGGTGGCCACATAACAGATCAAACAGCTCATACTTGAAACAGAGTTATTATTATTCAGCTGTATGTATGTGCATGACTCATAAGAATTTAAATTAAGTCTATTCCTGTGTGCATAAATGTGAATACAGAAAAAAACATTTAAAAGTGCATTATCACACATTTGCTCAGTCTATTCATTTTGGCAATTTAAAGTCATATAGTTCAACAGATTAATGACCTACTATCAGCGCAGTTTGGGGGTTTGTTTTGAACTACTAAAACCATACTTAAGAATTGTGGGTCTTAGAAAGCTAGAAGAGAACCTGAAACATTGTAAACTTCAAAAATAAAATATTAATAAACGTTTACTGTTATAAATAGCTGAATTTTCATATCAATATAAAAATAATTGTTTTTGAAAATATAAAACTAACATCTGGTATTAAAATTTTCCATTGTGGCCAAACAAAGTCACAACATGAAAGAGAAACAAAAAGATAAATTACAGGCTAGCTTGGACTACAGGGTGACTTCCAGGCTGACTCAGGTCATACACACATACACACACACACACACACACACACACACACACACACACACACGAAAAGAAAAATTCCACTATGAATTATCTTCAATCTTCACTATGCACTATCACCTAGCAAGTGTAATGTATCATTTTTATCAGCATGTTTGTTTTAATCTTTCATGATTAAGGAACAAAATTCTGTGAAATGTCCATTTAGCACAACATTTAAGAGAAAGTGGAAAAATTTTTAAAATTATGTAGCCTCTTTCTCCTTCAAAATATAACATACTGAATAAAAATGAAAGACTGAGTTATCTTTTGTATGATATTTTATTATAGCACTGTAATAGTAATGACTTTAAGAATAGATGAAAGACATAACAGGTACTAGTCATAAACTGGTTGCTAATTTCTCACTGTCATTTATACTATGAAGCAGCCTCATTTTTTGCTGTAACACTTTGATAAATCAAATCAACACCAACCTTAACCATAATCCTAAACCTAAAGGAATCCTAACCCTAAAGGAAGCAGCTTTCTACTACTTCAACTGACACCTAAGATAGTAAAGACAGACTTTAGGAAATGAACAAGAAAGATATGAAGGCACGGAAAACAAAAATGGCTTACTGCATATAAGGTAATGTGATAGACTAAGGGGCAGCAAAGAATGCCATAGGTAGTTAATAGGTGGGCTGTCAAGAACAATTGGAAATAAGAGAACTTTCGACACTAACCACACTATTTGTCTAACACAGTCTACAAGAGAAATTAGAAAGATCAAATAAAATTTTCACAGTAGCTCTTGGAAGAGCAACAAATGAGTAAAAGGTGAAACCCTGTAAGCAATGACATAAGCAGAAAGAGGAGATGAAGATTTTGACTATGCCATGTTTAAGACAATGGGAAGTTACTAGAACTTTGAATAGAAAACTACTAAGATCAATGAGATCTAGCCTTAAGGAACAAGTTAGTAACTCAGATAGCTCACTCAGTTACTGTATCATCAACTATGTACTCCTCCTAAGACAACAAAGAGACCATTTCCTGACTTCTCACAGGTTTTTTTTTTTAAGTTAAAATATTAGCATTCAATTGGCAAGTCTTTATTGTGCATCCACTATTTGATATGGCACATGTAAACATGAAAGTTTTCTCTCAAGTACACAACAGCAAGTTAGAAAATGCAAAAGACTCCACATGCATGTCCCTAGTAATAAATAAATAAGAAACACACAGTGCTAGGTGATGAACAAAGATGTGACAGGAAGCACATTCATACCTCTATGTAAGTAAATTAATACCACATTTTCAAAGCTGGGGAAGTCACAACAGCATAAAAAATAAAAACGACTCTGACTCAGAAACTCCTCTCCTACAAATCTAATGGGTGGAGCAAAGAATGTATTATTTCAAAGACTTGAACAATAAAACTTACACAAAACGTTAGAGAAACACCAAACATCTGCCAGTAAGAAAACTTAAAATATACCTATATGATGAAATAGTATACAGGTATTAAAATTATTTTCCAAAGAATATTGTTATTTAATAATATTTAGTGTTTTCCAGGCAATTTTATAATAAAGTGTAAGAAAATAAGCAACTATTATTTGAAAAGACAACAAGAACCTGTAAATGTGTGATATTTACTGGCCAAGGTTATGAGTTTCACTTTAAGAAATTATTCTAGAAAGACTGAGAAAGGGGAGTAACAACAATAACCTCTGAAGGTCAAAACTACGAAGTGGTAGCCAGGGGAGAAACAAAAGTTACAGCATATTAAAGTGGTGGTGCATGCTTCCAATGTCAGCTCTAAAGGGACATGCACTACAGCAAGTTCCAAGGCCAGCCTGGGTTACATGCAACAGACCTGGACTAAATCAAATGTATCTTATTTCACGGCTTATTGTGAAAATTCTGAATATATGCTGGCTTTGTCAAAACTGACGTTTTGCTACACTACATTATGTGGAGATTAACAGTCACTAACAAGGCACGTGATCTTCATTACACTCTTTTAAGGCAAGGACCTTATTGCGAAATGTTTTACTAGAGGAAACAGATGTATCAGCAAGGCTGTGACTTGCCCAAGAAAACAGCTAGTTAGTTCTCTGGAAACCGCAGAAATCAAGCACCGGTGTTAAGCCTCTTAAGCAATCTGCGTTCCACACCTGCACCTTATTTTTTTTCTTTTCCCCTCTTCACTGTCGAATTATTTTTAGAGCTACTTCTCCTACCCCCAAATCCTGCCTCGTTTGCCAGCTGTGCTCAGTAGTAGTTTCGGGTAAGTTACGTTGCTAACTTGCCCCATCCGGTCAAGATCTAAAACCTTTCTACAGACACGAAGTTCAAAAAGTTAACAGGCATCGGGCAGTTTTTCAGGCTCTCTAGCACAAAACTGTTCTCAAGATTGGGGAAATCAAGCAGAAGGTGGGTGGGTGACAGGCACAACTCCAGGAACAGCGAGGCCAGGGAATCCTAGCACCCGGGACGCAGTGCCCGCTCCCTGCAAAGCAGAGCCCAACAGCCCCTTCGCGGCGGTTCGAGACCACACAACGCCGGCCAGCGTTTATGTCTTCCTACCAAACGCTACTTGTCCTTCCAGAACCGAGCCCTCCCATCGGCACCAGAAGCCAACACGACTTGAAACCACTAGGATCCCTTCCATCCCGAACAACTCTAAAGGTCAGACCCATAACGGCCCAGACCCATAACGGCCCAGAATAAATAAATGCCGCTGCTGCTGAGGCGCACTGCCCGCCCGGCTCAGGGCAAGAATAAGTTCCACGCCACTGTCCCCACACCCGACGCCGGGGAGGCTCAGCTGCTCCGGCCCGGGGCGGGCCCAAGGGGTGGGGGGAGCAAGCCACGTGTTCCGCCTTCTGCGCACGCGCCAGCCAAAACAAAAGGGAGGCTTGCCAAGCCCCGCCCTCACCCACGTGACTCGCGTTCAGGCCCGCCCCCTGCCCCGCCTTCCCCTCCCCTCCCCTCCCCGCCGTGTCTGCCAAGGCTGTTAGGTTTAGCCGTTTAAATTTGGCTGCGGTCCGAGCCCCCTGCCCCAAAGCACGGTCCTGTGCCGGGGCCCGGGGTCCAACGGCCAGGAGGATCCGGGGTGCAAGGGGACGGCCCGGCGGACGCCGAGCCCGCGAGTCCCCCCCGGCGGTCTCCTCCGCTCTTCCCGCCCCGCGCCGCCGCCGCCGTTCCCCCGCCGAGGAGACCCACCCCCCTCTGCCCGCCGCTGCGACGCCGGCCACTCGCCTGCTGGGGCGCCCTGGCTGCCCTCCGCCGCCGCACCTTCGGTCCGGCCGTGGTGGGGGCCGCCGTAGGCGATCTCTAGCTGTCCGCCCGCCTCCCCCCACCCGGGGCGCCGCCGACTCGTCTCCAGAGCGCGCCCCGCTCCCGCCCCGGCTGACGCCGCCGCCGCCGCGGTTTAACAGTCCGCCCGCTGCCCGCAGCTCCGGGCGCTCGGGGGACGGAACCCTACTGCGGAGGGGGGGAGCGGGGGAGGGCGGGGCCCGGCTCCGGCCAATGGCAGCGGGGGAGGGGCGCGCCATGCAAATGAGACGGGCGGCGGGGAAACCCCGGCGGGGGCGGGGCCCGCGGAAGCCGCTGCTGGGAGCGTTCTGAAAGCGGCCTGAGCGCGGTGGCGGCCGAACTCTGCGGTGGCGCTGGCGGCGCCCGGTGCGTTCCGCCCCGCTGCTGCTGCGCGCTCTCTCCACCCCCGGGAGAACTAACGCCGCCAGCCGTCCTGCCGGGCCGCTTCCCGCCTCCGCGCTGCGGTTTCCGCAGGTCTGTGTCACGAAAATAAGACGCGAGGGGGGAAAGTCGGGTCTGAGCGTCCCTCTCCGCTCCTCCGCGAGCCTCGGCGTCCCGGCCATCCGGGCCAGGCCGAGCGAGGGTTAGCAGCCTTCCTCCGCTGCCGAGGCTCTGGAGCCCGGTGCCTATGCTTGTAGTGGACTCAGTGTCTCAGATCCCAAGTCATACTCTGTAAAATAGGAGACAAACCCGCCTGAGACGCATTTGAGTTAGTTTATGACTGAGGAGCTCTGCAGTGAACTCTCCTCTACCTTAGCGCAGAAAAGCGGGATTTTAAATGGAAAGTTGACTAGAGAGCCACAAAAAACATCTCTTGAGTCTTGCACCTACCCCACTTTGCGGCTTCATGCTTAAACACTCCCGGGCATTTCCCCAGGCTTGAACTTGACGCTTAAGAAAAAAAATTACAAACTAAATATAGCTACATAGATAATAGATTAGAAGCTTTGCTAAGCAGATTTTCACAGGAATGCTTTAGGGAGGGGAAGGCACTAAAATTTTAGATCCAAATGTATCATTATTTCTACTTATTTTGTTGGAAGGGATCACAGGGCAGAAGTGTGAAGGACTGAAGTCATCAGGAAGTAATACTTAGGTATTACCGGAATTGGAAAATTAACCACCACTTCTCTTTCTAGTACATCAAGATACATAGTTGAAATAATTTTTAGGATAAACTGTCTTCAGTGGGGATGATAGTTATAAAAATGATTGAAAATAATTGTTCAATATAGGTCAAGAGAGACATTTCAGGAAAGATTAAAATGGATTAAAATCATGAACTAATGGTGCGTTGGAGGAAAAATTAAACACTGGGTATTTGTCATATTTAAAGGGCTGTCATAGTCTCTGAGTATGGAAACAGAAAATGGGTAAAGCATTCAAATAAAGTATGTGGTGGAACCTAGGTAGGGGCACATGCTTTTAATCCCAGGCAGAGGTGAGCCAACCTGGTCTATATGGTTATTCCAGGATAACCATGGCTATACACTGTCTAAAAGCATACACAAATCTACATGGTGGAAAAGTAGCAGCTTGAGAAGTCAAAGGTGTTAGAGCAGCCCAAGATCTTGGATTCAACTGGGCATTCATTTGAAAGGCTTCCCTAAGGGAACATAATGTGTATTATACTATTAGAAAAGAAAACAACGTTGTCAACTACACCGTTAAATCATGAATGACAAGGTCCAGGGGTCTACCACAGTAAAAGATCCCTTACCAAGCATTGGGGAGTGAGAGGGGGGAGGCTGGGTTCAATTTCTAACATACTAATTAATGACAAGGAATTCAAATTTAAAATGGAAGTAATTGTAGAACTATAAAATGACTTGAGGTACAGTTATCTCCTGTGAGGTAATTGTTTATTACTAAAGCAAAATACTTGTAAGTTAACAAAATGTATGTTGAAAACATATTTTGGGTGGTTATAGAGGAGATACAGCAGTAAATAAAATCCCTGCCTTTGCAAAGTTCAATGAGCTTTGCAAAACTACAGATAAAAACATAACAAGGCTTTCAATATATTGCCTAATTCAGTCTTCAAACATAGTAGGAAGTAGGTTGTTTTCCAATACTCAAGGTTAATTCTTTTATCTTTTAGCTAGCCTCAGTCTGCCAGATTTTGTGAACCTTACATAAATATTCCAGTCTATGAAACAATCATGTATACTCCTCTTCCCTTTACATTCAATTTTATGATACTTCAAAGTATTAAAATGAGAGTATACTTAATGTCACTGGTTTGAAATATACTTTTTAAAAAACACAAGGAAAAAACTCAGTGATTTCTGTAGCCTATTTTGTAACTCATAATTTCATAAACTACTTGCTTTTGCTCATAAAGTGGAATACACATTAAGAACATTGTACCTTGGCACTGAATAATATCCTAAAACATGCTTCTATTTTATGTAGCATAAACACACCAGCTTTCCAGACCCCATAGAATAAAGTTCTAAAAATCAATAGACTAAGTCATTTGCCAGATGTTTTCCTATTTTACTTACTCAACAAAATCCTAAAACAATTCATGTAATCTTTACAAATCGAGTGTCTATTATTTTAAAGATACATTAAACGAATTCTGGTTCCCAAGAAATCTATATTATTGGTTTGAGAGAGGAAGAGAGGTAAATAAAGATGCAGCAAGGACAAGGAGAAGAGAAGGACACAGTTCTTGCTGACATAGTTATGACCTGACTGGAACCCTGTAAAAACACCCAGGTAAGCAGTATTACCATGATTTCATGAGATAAACTTCAACACCGGCATTCACTCAGTCACTTCTTCCACGCAGGAAACACTGCAGCAGCACTTAAGGTCCAGCTGACAATGTGATAAATGCTAGAGATAGAGATCAACGACTGGCTTCAAGCAACTCAGCCAAGAATGGACTACAAGCACAGCCTTTTGTGTCTCCCTTCTGCGCTCTGTGTTTCTTTGTAGCACCTTACCATCCAACATAAGGCAGATTTTTGTTTTTCTCTCCCTGGCCTAGAATCTAAATGAACTCTGTAAGGTCAGGCCATTTTGCTTAATGCTGAACCCCCATAGCTTAGGCATGGATGTGGTTCTCAATAAATGTTAACTAGACAACGTTTAATTCTTACATTCTGCAGTTCTCTATTAATTTCCTGGGTTAAAAAAAATATCAGTGACATCCACGTATAAAGGTAGATATAGTAATGAAGTTGCCAGTCTTGTATCTAAACAGTTTTGACTGGATCCAAAGCTAGCCTGTCTTTATATTTCTGTGCCAGAAACAACTGTCTTCCACTGTCCTATAGTAATCCGCATGTTTATGATTAATTCAGGTGTATGACATAAGCAGTAGAGTTAATGAAATTCTTCCTCAGGTCAGATTAAGTTTTAACTAACCAGTATTTATAGATGAAAAGGTTAGGGGTATGCAACAACACTATATGTCAGGACTAGGTACAAGAAAAGACAATACTGGCCCACAGAGGTAGGAGAATAAAAAATCATTTCAGTTGCTTATAAATTTATCACTTTTATCCACAACAGACTCTAAATGGGAAGCACCTATAAAATACACCATCTGGAAAAGGATAAGCAAGTTGTGGGGTGTCCATATCTTCTATTATGAAATGCTACTGTAAAATAACCAAAGTGCTTTTTAAAATTTTTTTCATACAATATTTTTATCATATTCTTTCACCTCCCCCAACTCCTCCCAGATCCTGAGTCTTATTTCTTCAAGTGAGCATACAAAATAATAGGTTTCATTATAACATTTTCATCCATGGTTGCATCCTAAGCAGAATGCAGAATGAAAGAAACCAGACGCAAAAGAGAGTAAATATTGCACGATCTCATTTATGTAAGCCTTTGGGAAGACAAGTGTGACCCAGAGTGACAGAAAGCAGACCAACAGTTGCTGAGCTGGAGAGAACTGACTGGGGTTGGAGGGATGTGGAAGACATTTTGTATCTGGTAGATCCTGGTAGGACAAGTGCAAAAGTCATCAAAACATTTAAATATAGTGATACATATAGACTGCACCTCACTAAACTCTCCTTGATGAAAATGGACACAAACCTCAAGGCATTTCTAGTTCATAAATTGAAAGCTATTCTGTATTAGGAAAAGATAGGTTGTATACATCAGAAAGCCCAAGATCCGAGGTCCAGCTAAATGGTAGAGCACATACATGCTTAGCATGGACCAGTCCTTAGAATAAAAAACAATGCTTTAAGAACAGAATAGTTTTCCAGGGGCAGGGTGGGGAACAACAGTACTAAGGATTAAACCTAGAACATCGTGCATGACAGTAATACTCCACTACTTGAGCTCCTTCTGCCTCTCTTTTCTTTCTGTTTTGTTTTATTGTATTTTCTCTGAGATGGGCTTTACGTTTCCCAGGATGACCTTGAACTCACATCACCCAGGCACACAGTGAACTTGCCATTCTCCTGCCTCAGCCTCCTAAAGTAGCTGGGATCACAGGCATCTAGCCTAGGCCTATTTCCTCAATATATAAGCAAACGGTCCATTTTAAGAGCCAGTGAAATGAACTAAAAGCTTTAGAGATAATATAATAGCACCACTGGCCCATCAACAGTCCACCCTCTGCTATCCTCATCCCTTCTCAAAGGGCTCGTGGTCCCAGACTCCTGCTACTTTCCCATCACCATTCATTTCTCAGGTACCTGAAAGAATGGGAGTCAATAAGTCTTCAACGTCTCTCCTTAAGGTCTAGCAAAACTCCTACACATTTATCATGTAAATATGTATAGTAGCAAAGGAACCCAGGATGTACAAGTTCAGAAGTCCAAATACATTTCCTCCTCCCCCAATATAGGCCTTGTTTTTTTAGGAGGAAATAATCCTTGTTGGATGGATAGTGGTCTCCAACTGCTAAAGTGGGTTCTTGATGTCTAAGTTAAGGTGTTCAGTATTAAGTCTCGACAGCCTTCTGCTGTTCCAGTTCTGTGAGCCCTTCATTATTTCAGCTAAATTTGATTTATGCTTTGTTTTTGACAAGAGAAAATATCCTATCTAGCATAATTTACTTTGCAATATGGTAAGGTAAATTTGTAATGGGTGTGGCTTAAGGGAAAATACTTATGAAAGTGTATAACTTTTGATGAGGGTTCGTGAAATGGATCTTGAAACTGAAAGACTT